GACTGTCGAATCACCGTCTTGTCGATGGTTTCCACAGTACAACAAAAGTAACTTTAAACGCCTTTGATATGGTAGCATTTCCCTTACGAGGATATGGATATGGATACATTTGGAGTTTTCTTTGTTATTTGTTTTAATTCAAAGAGGTTTAATATTCTTCACCATTGGAATATATACATACATCAAGTGAAGCTCTATCGGAAGGCTGTTCAAAAAGTAGCTTCGGTGGCCAAATTTCATTCCAGTGCCCGCCGATTTATCCCCACAGTTACCTAGTTACATCTCGACGAGACTGCATCTTGATGCAGTGAGATGACTTGTGCACCTCTCTGACCCAACGAGATACACAGGATGGATTTTTTCAAGCAGAAGATGTAATCATGCCTGGAAGGTAAACAGGTAGAGATCGGATCGAGTGCAGTCTCCTGGTCCTCCAGATTGGGAAGTCGACTTGAATTGGCGTTTCAGTTGGTAAAAAATGTTGGAGCAGTAATTGATCCAAGTAAATGGGTCTCTGCTTCGCTTCACCCGCTACCATGCGGCTCGGTTCTTATTAGAACTAAAGACTTTGCTTGAGAGCCCTAATCGTTCTCCTGCTTAGTGGCTGGACACCTTGGCAATACCCGTCCATCAAACACCAATGCATACACATTGCGAGGTTGGCAGCGATTAGTGAAGTTCCTTTCCCTGTATCTCGCTTTACGATGAGTTATATCTCAATGAGCAGACAACAGATCGAATGTTACTTGCAGGCATTATTGTTTTGAAACAGAACACGGTACCGGAGAACATGACCACACTTTGCACGCATCTCCGTGTCCGAAACAAATACACTATCGCATCTGTGAAGCAAATTTGCTGAGAAAAGTACAACTCTTTCGGATGCGATGCCCTTTACTTGGGACTGTATCTGTATGCATATATGATAGCTGTCGTGAAATAACAAATTTTGCAATGTGGCTGTTCAAATCGCTCAACTCGGTCTCTGTGACAGGCACGTGAATAAGTGTAAAGCGGTACAGTAGAGACCGGGGGAGTTTGAAGCAACTGGAAATGTGTTCCGTATTCCTATTTATTGACTGAGAACGAGTGGCTTCCTCCCTACCGCGTACTAAATGCATGGTTCGCTCAGTGGATGGAATTCAGTCGAACTACAAAGTACTATCTCCATTTAGCCTACCCACCTCGTGGTCGATCTCAGATGTGACATTCACCGGCACTGGAAGCAAGGCAACCCAAAAGAACAGCTATCTGAAGTCCAGGAAGGAAACGCGTATTATGCAGGGCAGGTGTAGAAGCAGTGCGATCGCTCAGAGAATTGAATCGGGTGTCACACATATTGGATGAAGTGAAGGGGCTTTTTCTATTTCATTCACACGCAATATGGCAGTAGCCAAACCTCTGTCTGTCTATGCCAACTTTTATGAACGTCTCAATTGAATCATCTGGTCAAAAGACAAGGTTTTGCATAGAACTATTACAAACCAGCTTACAGTGAAACAATAGCTGTGCCGTACAGACGAAGTGAATCCATGACGGAAACGAAGCCCTCCTGAACGTGTTTGGTGAATATCGGCACCCACAACAGTATTCTGTCTATGCAGTACTGCGTTCGGTTGATTCATCGTCGAGTGAAAAAAATGCAGACGGCTACCCACCTTTTCGCTTTAAGTGTTGTTTACATAATGTGACGATGATTCTGAATGAAAGTAAAGTACCATAGATCAGCATTTCCTAACCAATTCAGCACGCTTTATTGAGATATTTATTTACCGTAGACTCCCTACTTTCTCACAAACCTTATTCGATATATTGATGGATATTAAATGTAATGTTAAAAGAGAAGCGATTGAACTTTGATAATCGAGATGCTTATCCCTACCAGCCGGCCAGTTCCAATATAATAGGGCTGCATTGTTTATCTCTTCCCAGTCATCTTACCAAATAATACGGACAATGACAAAAGGCAAACAGAGCATATTCTAGATACTCCTCGTGCGGAGAAAGTTGCATACCTCGATCAAATCGATAAATCACTCGAAAGCTAGCCTTCAAACCGGGCAGAGTCGCTCCAGACGCATTTAACCGCAACAGAACCAACGAATGTTGCCCAACAATTGGGGCCTGATCTAAATCGGATCCGATTCGTAAATTATTTAACCGACCGGTCGGTCCGCACCACACGTGATCGGGGCTGGCGTCGATGTGACCAAATTGGTCGGTCCAGTTCAACGCGGGTTCAGTGAGCTGATACAGTCCATCGAGCGATCGGCTTCCGTAGACGGCTAAGTGACCTTGATCGCAGCTGACAAAGAGGAAGAAGGACAAGAGAGGAGAACACACACACACAGAAAATTAGAAATCGCGTACGAACGGATATTTTCTGAAGTGACATAATTCGTCACTATTTCCGAAATGCACTACTTTCAAGTCAAGTCAAGGAATCACCTTATACACCTCGAAAGGTGGATATTCAACAACCACATAACCACACTGTGTCAACAAAAGTGAAAAAACATTATAATATAGTAAATAAAAGACGTGAGAACGAACAGCAAGATCAAAAATCAATAGCATACTCGGGCTTTTGTGATTGCTTTAGTTTAACATTTTGCACAGATTTCTTGCGGGCAGTTCATAGTCAGTAAGTTATTAGGTGGTATGAGACCACAAACCGACAGAATTTTGTGGGATCGAGAAATGAGTTTGAGATCCTTGTTAAAACGACCGGGGATGATAACAGGGGTAAAACGCAAGCAAAAGAAAAAAGCCTTATTAGATGGTTTGGGATAAAAGTTGATTTAAGACGTGAAACATAAAACGTGAGCCTTCATTAACGTTGTCAGAGCAGGTGGGGTTACGGTTGAAAATAACGCCAAAGTATTTGACAGACGGTTGTCGTTCCATCTGGTCACTGGGGATAGATAAAGGCGGGCTGGCATTTGACAATTCATCATACTTTTGCCCCTTCAAAAACAAAAAGATTACGTCATTACAATTTTGGGGGTTCATGCGGAGTTTCCTTTGTTGAGACTACTAAACTGTTTCTTACATGTTCTCCTGTAGAGTGGTTTGAAATGATGAGTTGGGGTAGGGTAGTCCGAATAGTATATCATCTGCATACTTAACGAGAAGAGAAGAATTGCCCACAGGCATAGCGGAAATGTAAGCGGAAAATAGAAAAGAGGATAAAATAGAGCCTTGCAGTACGCCTTATTGTGAGGAAGGCAGCAGTGAAGATGTACGACTTTTGTAGCCTGTGAACTGCTGACGTTTGGAGAAATAGTTGACCGAGAGTACAATCGTAGAAGGTTGAACTCCACCCGAATAGAGGGTATTTAGCAAACTGTGTCGATTAATTGTGTTCAAGGAATCACTGTAGTCTAGAAAACTTATATGTACGACCTTGCTTATCTTATTCAAGTTAGATAAAACAAAGTGGGACAGATAGGCAAGGGCATCCAGGGTACCGCGGGAATGGGTGTATACAAACTGGTTCGGGTCATTAATATTGAACTGTGTGGATAAGGTCTTAATGAGGAGCCTCTCCAACACCTCCAAGACAACTGGGATGCAGGCAGTGGGACGGAATTTTGAGGATCTCTTCTTCGGTACAGAGGTGATAGAGGCTATTCTCCAGCAGTCGGGTATATGTTGCTGCGAAATACAATTATTGAAAAGTTCACTCAGTACAGGGGTAAGGAAGGCAGCACATTCTTTCAGGACAACGGGTGAGACTCCGTCGGGGCTGCAGGACTTGTAATGATTTAGTTGGGCCAACACTTGATAAATATCGACAGGTGCAACGCTGGAGACGGAATCATTATTTCATATCCATTAGTTAGAGCAGTGAGAGCGGTTCTACCGTTGATGAAACTCTGATTCAGACTAGCAATGTCCACTGCGGCAGGTGCGCGGTGTGAGGATTTGATGCCAGAACTTCGCACGAGGGCTTGCCAAGTCTGACGACCTTTGTTATCAAGCAGAGCACGGACCTATAAAGACTTTAGTCAAAAGGATATGTGGCAATACTTCCACTTGTACTATCAGTGAGTGCGTTTAATCCCCACTGATGCACTCTGTTACAGAGGACAATGTATCAAAACATAAAACTTATTCATCGACAGATTAATGAAAGCAAATTTTACCCACGGGAACCAGTGCAAGAGTGAGAGACAAATAGTATCGCAAATATGTCGCAAATATGACCGATGCAGTCTTTTCAGTCCCAGAGGATGGACAGAGTTTGGAAAAACTTCACTAGGTTCCCCTTTGGTGATAGGGTAATGTTATCTATTCCACAAAATAATGGATCCCAGAATCCGATAGGACTGATGACCAATGGGGATTCCACACAACCTCAATTGTTTACTCCTAAGTGTCCTAAGTATATATTTATTTCCTCTTTTTATTTATTGAATATACGAATTTACAGTTAACTTCCCGGAAGCGAGCTGTGACCATACAAAGGCTGCCAGAGGAAATACAGAAATCGGGAAAACGGGCGGCGGTGGAGTGGTTCGAACCCGGGACTTACGGATCATAATTTGGTGACCTAACCACTTGATTGTTTACATGAGATGGAATGATTCATGCATTTTAATCACAATCTCGGAATCAATCAATCAATCAATCCATCAATCAGTCAGTCAATCAAACACTCAATCGATCAAGCAGCCTATCTATTTCTGTGTATCATTCTATTGATCATCATTCATCAAAATGAACTTGAATTTTCTAGTCAAATTTGAAACTTACAAATACATATTCGTGCTCAAGCAGGATCTCATCTACTAACAAGTAGAATTGAGCCAAACTTGTTAAGATGGAGCTTAAGCAACCTGTCCGATCGCGCATGCCTCCGAATCAGGCCACAAGCACATTCGCAACGCTCCAGACAAGCTGAACCCGATTGAAATGAATCAGTCAATAACTGTCCAATCGATCAATCGATATGTCAAGGACGCAATCTGATTGATTGGTGCATTACTGCACCGTTCTCGTATGTACGATTCGCTATATTTATTTGCGTATCGATGTCTAATTGAAAAAATATATACAGGCTGAGTTTGGTTTCAGCTATGTTCTCTCTCCGCATTATTGCTGGGGGAGGGGTTAAGCAACAGTCGCTCGTGTCATTCGTACGTCTAGACCGAACACAACAAAACTAAGCTCGTCTTGTGATGGTGTGTGTGTGTATGTAAGTGCGCAGTGTTAGGGTCTTCAAAAATACTGTGCTACAAACAAGCAAAAACCAAGTGATCGACCAAAATGAAGTATTTTCTATTCGGAAAGGATGGAATTTTGGAAGTCACTTTGAAAATGACCAAAGTATACGTGCAACAGAACAAATTTGTTGTTATAAACCCCCAAAAGGTAATGGTTGTGATATCACAATTATGCACGCAATGCTCTCACTGTTTCCCAATATTCCAGTAATTTTCTCCGGCCACGTTAATATGGGCTCATCAGATTGGTTATGCTCCTGTTTTGCGCGATCGTTCGATCACACTCGTATACGGACTGGATTAAATGACATAGCAGAACAGGGTGTTCTTGGACAGTGTGCCCGAAGCACGCAAGCTCCGGAACATAGACCAACAGGTGCACGCGACGGGTTATTTAGCAGTTGCCTGAACGAAATGTCATTGAGAAAAACTCTCAGGATGGCTGATTTGTGAACGAAGCTCAGCTCTGTGTTCATAAACAAGAGAACGCGGTTGATTGATTTGTGGATCAAATTTGTTCAGCTAGGCAAACCCTTTCCGCACACAGCTCAAACCAGAGGACCTGTTTGTCTTGTCCATAAAGAGCAATTTTTCCTGAGTTTGCCGTCCATTAGCTTGATTTGAACTCTGTTAACATTCGATGTGTGATAGAAGTTTGTGAGATATCACCTGGGACATTATTGGACACATGACCGATTGGATTTTATAAAAACAGACAGTTTTGAAA